ATCAAATGGTTGGCTGACCAGAAACAATTAGCAACAAGAAACTCTGACTGGGAACAAACCAACCAAGAGCCGATTGCTCAACACATATGTAGGAGGAAATGGAGATGGATTGGGCACACACTGAGGAGACTGTTGAATGACATCGCGCGCCAGCCCTTGAGTGGAATCCCAATGGGAAACGACGAGTGGGTAGTCTGAGGTTGATATTGATGAAATAGTGCGAGGAGGAGATGAGAGATTGTGGGCAATCGTAGACCCAGCTGAAGAGGACAGCAGAAATTAGAACAAAGTGATATGTTGTTGAAGCCCTATGTTCCACTCAGAACCCAAGTGAACAATAATAAGTATAACAGCTTTAAATTATTAGAGTGAATAAGAGCATATAGTAGTTCCATAGATCATGCTACGTTATGGAATTATACTGCAAAACTGCAGTTTCAATAAATATTTGTATACATATGTCAGTGAGAAATGATCTGTAGGTAACTGCCTTTCAGTATAGCTAGTCAGACCCGACCTGCCCGGAATAGATTTAGCACGTTGACCGCTCCACTTATTTGGGAAGTACCATCAGCCCCAACGGGCTGATCTCTGACGAAATCTCAGCACGAATACAGAGGGCTAGTTTCGCATATGCCAGTTTACGCCGTCTCTGGCGTAGACGTGATATCCGGCTGGCTATCGACCAAAGGGCGGGTGTACTGCTCAGCAGTCTGCCCCATCCTCCTTTATGGCTGTGAGACCTGGCCATTGAGAGTAGAAGACATGAAAAGGCCGGCAAGCTGTCTTTGATCATAGATGCCTGCGTTCTATCTCCTTTGTGAAGTGGAATAATAGATTGGGCAATACTGAGGTTAGGCGTCGAGTGCTAGGTAAGGCGGGGAAATCAATCGACGAGGCTATGAAATTACATCGACTGATATGGTTAGGACATGTGTTACGTATGCCTAGTCATCGCCTTCCTCGACGGATAATGTTAGCTGACATAGGGTCAGGCTAGCTGCGGTCAAACCAAAATATGGCACCAGTCAATGAAATCCACAACAGTTAGTCTAAGCCACGTAGGAAGGTGGAGACTTCCTGGTTGGGGTCCTCGGGACGGTAAAAACCAATGGTTGGAAACAATTGGTGACATGGCTCAAACTCATCGTTCTCAATGGCTGGCGCAGATGCATCTACTCCTTGTGACTTATGATTTCCAATGAAACTATATTGATCTTCGTTACTACTATTCCTTTGTCTCACACCTCTGTTTACTGTCTATATTATGCATTTCTTCTACTTTCGTCTCTTGCTTTGTATGCTACATAGAGTGTGGCGACTTGGGCTACCGCACATCGGTGCAAAGTTCTATGTCGAAAACAGACAGACAGACATAAGGAATTAAAGTCCCGAAGAGGTGGAAAATTGCCGTTTTTCCCATGTAGATGAGATTAAAATTATTCTGTGTTAAGATGCACAAAAGTTGTGCATGACTATCCCAAGCAGATATGTCTACCTCCCATAAAATCAATACTCAATTCATCTATAGCAGCAACATTACTATAAGGGGAAAAAGTTACACTGATGATACATTCACTGAAAGGTTCAAGAGCTATTGACTGGCTGATTTACGTCCCAACCGGTAGCGATAGTATAAGAAAACATATGCATTTTACAACCTTAATCAAGAATGCACATGTTAGACCTTTAAAGACACTCAAACCCATATCAATGAGTGAGAACTGTACGCCCTATTTGTCCCTACTCAGTAGAATAGAAAATAGGCTATAGCATGTCGTTAGCTGTGCATTAGGCAGGATTTGAGGTATTCACATTTGTATTTTGGAGACAAAGCGTGGGATTATCCTTGAGGACTAGAACAAACAACTACATGATCAATATTAAAGTAAAAACATTTGAGAAATCTGTTTCAAGAACAGCAATTCTTACAATAATAGTTATTATATACACTCACGACTGCGCAACTCAGGATCTTTAGGTTATGCGAAAGACCTGTTGGCCATTTAATCCCTTGGTGGAAATCTAATGTCATGTAAAATTTGCTTTGAAAATGATAATACTCCTTCCCATCTAACACTTCAAAATGTCCTTGGCAAAAAAAATCAATGCTTCAACTGCATTTCGGAATGGTTATCACAAACATACAGCTTTACATGATATAATTATATACTTGAAAATGAATATTATTTTGGTTATACTATCATTCCCTTCCTGAAAAATCAGTTTTTTTAGCTATATGTTTCTAAATAACCACATGTTTCCTAAATCATCACGTGCAAATAGTCTGAAAAATAACGTGCTTTTTAATGTTTTTTCTTTCTTATCTATTTCTGAATTGTGTATTTATTATGTGTGATTCGGTTTTTCTCCGCTTTTGCTTGTTTGTATTGTATCTTATCAATTTACTACTGTTAATAACACTGATTTTTGATGCCAACTTCCTACTCAACCCTTTTACAAGTTCTTGAAGTATTTATCATTTCCGCGTAGCGGATGATGATGATTACATCTGAAGAAAGATGATATCATTTGATTGCATTGAAATATTTCTGTTCATTCTGATCAAAGTTTCAAGGAGGCGAATTACACACTGGGATAATCATCGGGAAGTAATTACTGAAAGTTGCACTTAACAAAGATCAATTCTTCGACAAGTACGAGGATGAAGTTGTTGTTTTTTTAACTTGCACATTTGACTTAGAAATCGATATTGGCAGATTTTTCCGTGGTCATGTTATTCCCAGTGCTGTCAGTTATTGTATGTATTTTAAAAAAAGAAGCCTATATATATACGACTACAATACATGGGCGATAAACCAAGCGAGTTAATTACGAAGAAATTAAGAAAATCAGTTCAAAGAACATTTAATGCTGGCGAACTACACACCTTATTCTCTACACGACCGATGGTGCTACCTCGACTGAAAGGTGAACTACCTAGACTAGCCACTTCAAATTGCATCTATCAATTCAACTGCGCTTGTGGAGCGGGTTATATCGGCCGTTGCTCTAGGAACTTGATTTTTCGTGCTAGCTCGGGAACATCTCCCACTATGGCTAAGTAAAGGTGTAGTTAAAACTATTAACAGCTCGATATTAGACCATCTGGTGCAAACCGGTCACAAAGCCAGCGTTGAAGAATCCTTCTCTATAATCTACCGGGTGCCTAATAAATTATCAAAATCGTCAAAGCACCGCATGCTCCAAACAGAAGAGGCTATTGTAATTCGCCTCAAACAACCAGCGCTCTGTGTCCAAAAGAAACAAGTCCAGCCCCCACTACTGCCTTGGCCCTCAGTAGAAACTATAAACTCATGGATGTGTAATATTATCTTTCATAATTCTTCTGACATTCAGTTTATTTTATGTTGATGCTGTTCAGCTGTAATCTATCAATATTATTGATTTGATGTTATTTAAACATTAATGTCGTTCATAAGACTAATTCATTCATTCAGTATAATGTATATATAATTGTAGAGCCTGATGATGAATTTATCGAAAAGAGTACTCTTTGTTCCGTGTCCATTCTTTTGAAAATATGAATTACTTATTTTATACTAACATGCCGAAAAGACAAAAGAATGTGTACTTATTAGCATCTCACTTGGCTGAAACTCAGCTACGCGCCCAGAATAAGTTTTATATTTACCAGGCTATGTGTATGAGCAACCCTTATATATTATGTGAAAAAGGACAGTCATCGATGATGAATGATGGTGCAGTGAGATTCGAATCCACGACGACTTACTGCCTGCAAGTTAAGTGCAAAAATCAATAAGCTACATATAGCTTTCGTCTGAATGGCGCAGTCATGCTTCATTCAGGTTTTCGATACCCTAAAAATCTGTTTATATAAAGAGGAGAAACTCACTGATGATTCCTTCATAATGTTACCTACCACACTTCAACTTGACATTGCATAAAATTAGTCGAACATGGGACTAATTTAAGCTTCGAAATGGTTACTCTTGAGTAAACTTCTGTAAGTACAGAGCTAGTGGGAGATAGTAACACACTGATATCAGGGTGCATATGTACACAATTACAAAACTTTCATCAGAAAGGCTAAAATGAGAAATCTGTGCATTTTAGATTTTCATGCAAATAATAGAATTATTACAATCAAACTTATTGGAAGGAGAAAATCGATAACTCCACAACTGAGTAATCATGTATTTTTTTTCCTGATTCGTTACGATATTATTATTCATTATAAGCAATTAGCATAAGATTGATTACCTGTGGATAGATAGTTAAAATACAAATATGATTGGATAAACTAACCAAGACATAAAAGGATGTAATTTTTTGCTCCACCTATGTATGTATATATATGCAATATTTCCACTACTAAAAAAAAACAAGAAATATTGTTCACTTTCAAATAAAATGAGATAGTATATAATGGTGACAGAAAATGAGTGTACTCCTATTCAAGTTATTACACGAAAGTAAGTGAGAAACACAAGATTATCGACGACTCTGAGAAGAGACGGAGAGGGGGGAGGAAAGGAAATGACCTATGTATGCAGTAAAAAGTTATTACAATAAAAGAGACAGGGAGAGAGCGAGAGAAAGAGAGATAGGGAAGGAGAGAGGGAGAGAGCAGTTTATATGCGTATGAATTGAATAAGTAATGAAATAATTGTTTGACGACGAATTAGCTGAAAGAAGACAACTGAATTTGAATGGAATGAATAAAGGTTTTTTTATATGAACCGTAATAACAATAATGATAATAAATGAATAGTATTGAGGTCAAAATAATAAAAAAACAGCGACTGTTTAGGACATATATGCAAACATAATCATCATTAGTAGTTTAATATAGTTAAACCCAAGACTGGATGTCAACCGAAAAATGAATTACAATAATAACACATTTGTAATTATACTATATATGTATATATGCTTAATTTTGATCAGTAAAACATAGGGGGTTCAAGATACATGAGTTCTTACTACCAACGGAACGGTCAAAGACAATATATATTTTAATCATTCATGAAGAAGGCTATATCTCTGCAAATAAAACACACAACTCTTATACTCGAGGAAGAGGAAGAGGCGCCTAAAAGAATAAAAACAACAAACAATAAAATTACTTGTAGAAAAAAACATTAAAATTGTGATTTGGAATATATATATATATATATATATATATATTTTGACTATAGCTTGATTCCACACCGTATTTTTGGTACAAGTATGGAATTTTCAGCATGTGATATCGGTAGCCCAAATTTTGCAGGTCGACCATTGATATCAGGTATGCGTCGGCAGAGTGTCCTAACCGCTGTGCCACCGACGCAAAAATAAAGGGAGGACCGTGAGGCCTCCCCACTGATAAAAACTACACGCCCAAGCGCACCCGATTAGGTTCCGTTGCGAGTTTTAACCCACCGAGGTGCAATGGTGAGCCTCCACCCAGGGTCAGAGCATTCTTGATCACCCTGAACCCGGCGCCAGGTAATATATATATATATATATATAACTCACTTTGGAAAGTGATTTAAGCCAAGAAAATCACGCATTCTTACAGTTGCATATGTTAAAACTTCAATTTCTGGATGTCGAAGTCGTCTAATCATGTTTCGTACACATTGATCACGTGTACAAAAAGCACCCAGAGGGAAAACTGTTCAGCAGCATATATATATATATATATATGCAATTAATAGTGTTCTCTGAGCTGGTTGGTTTAGTTGCGGAGCTTTCGTCGTCCTTCTGGACAACATCTTCAGCGCAATTTTTTAGCATAAAGTGAAATGATTTAAATTTTTCATGAGTTGATAGAATTGCGTCTCCCGGTAACCATCTTTACATATGTATTGATCATTGTTGTCCAGAAGGACGACGAAAGCTCTGCACAACTAAACCAACCAGCTCAGAGAACACTATTAATTGCAAATCATCCACCTGAGCTACAAATCTCTATTATTTCAATATATATATATATATATAGCATTATATATATATATATATATATATATATATATATATATATATATAATGCTATTTGTTTAAATTAATATGACACAACTGAGAATGACAAAAAGCTTTTTGCCACTTATTTCATTAGACACCAGTTATAGCGTCCTGCGACATACAAACCTACACTAGAAGATATATGCACGGAATCAACACCATTAATTCTTATACTGCACTACGCATACATACCTAAACAAGAGACTAAAAACCTTGACACCATTTTAATTATTGACAACAACAATAAGTGTATCTCATTTATTAATTGATTTCAAATCACTTCTAAATTCTTTCTTGTGTATTATTAGGTAAACATTTTTTTACATGGTGCTGGTTAATTAGTGTTGTCTTCTGAAGACATTTACTGCTAAAAACTTTTTTTAAACTTATACCATAGTATTGTGACTGAACTGACCAACTGAATCTCAAGATAGAAGTTCGTCTAGAAGTGCAGTAGTTCAAGTTACATTGTATTCATTACTATTTTCTTAAACTACAATGTCCATACTTAACTTCTCCTCAGTAGAATTTTTTTAAATGTGCGTTCTTATTTCATTATTTCCTACGCTGTCTGTAACTGATGGGAAGTCTCATAAGAAAATGTACACACTGTATACTGTAGATTTTATTCTTGTTGGTTCGATGAAGATAACAGTATACTCCAAAACAATATGTCAGAAAGAAAATATGCAACAGTAGACAAATTTACAGTGTGCCAAAATTAAGTCTTAGTGTTATTTATCATTAACGCTCTTATAGTTACTACCTCGCATTGTATTTCCATAAGTATGCTGTTTGCATATTATTGTTGACTTGACACGCGTAAGTTCCTATCGAGCTGTCTTCATTTCTACTTAATTAAGTTGATTCCAAATTAGTTTGTTTATTAGATATATCACACTGTGAAACAATATTATTTACTGGATGACGAAGTTTCGAACAAAATTTATTGTTCATGATCATATCATCAGTTGTAATCACACGACTTCGAAACTTGAGTTTTATAGTTTTCTTTGTCTTCGCCCATTTGTCGTCGTACGGGTAGTAGAATTTTCCAGATATCTGGATGGACAGATGTTGAGTCATGCCTATTACATGTATTTGCAGTTGATTCGATAAACAAAGCTTCTGTTATCAATCTCTCCCTCCACCCTGTGACATTAGATTTTAAAACTGTCATCCAATCCCATCCTATTGTATGGTTGTGTGCAACTGCATGTAGCTGAACTATTCTCTAGATTTCTTATCTTATTTGGGTCAACCAATCTAGATTTTGCTAAGTTTTTATGTTCTGTTAGTCTGACTGCCCCTGTTCGACTAGTTTGACCTATGTATTTGACCTGACAATCAACGCAGGCAGGGTATTCGATAAACCAAATTATTTTGTTTTAAAGGCTCCACAGGATCCTTTAACCGACAAAGCTTGTTTCTAATTGAGTTTGTGGGTTTGAATGCTACTTTTATTCTACTACCCCTATGACGACGAATAGGAGAAGACAAAGAAAACTATAAAACTCAAGTTTCAAAGTCGTGTGATTACAACTGATGATATGATCATGAACAATAAATTTTGTTCGAAACTTCGTCATCCAGTAAATAATACTGTTTCACTTTGTGATACATCTAACAAACAAACTAATATGGAATTATAGGATTTTCATCATGAGCTGACATTAGTTAGAGAACCATTGGAAAACCTGGGAGTACTGGACAGCTGTTTCGTCCCAGTTTGGGACCCTTCATCAGTACGCACCCACCGGAATTACTTACTACCACAGTGCCCAAGTTCTACACATATATTAATTAAGTTGAAGTGGTAAACCTCAACTGAATGATTCCTGACTAAAAAGCTGAAAATTAGTGCCGATGAAAAATTAAACCACAATTTGAATACTACAACAACAACAACTACTACTACGACTTACAGGTCCCAAGAAAATCACTTCAATTGAAGATGAAGACAACTAATCTACGTAAAGGCTTTTAATTGAACATACTCGTTGAGTCATCAATACTGCAAATAGTATATTTATGGAAATGAAATGCAAGGCAATATAATTAAAAGCGTTAATATAATTATACTAAAATGTAAAGCATTACTATAGTCGACGTCTGAGACATAATCTATGGTATCTACACTTGATATGAAATTAATTATACTAGAAATGGGAATACCATTTTGTTTCAATACTACTCTGATTAACTAATACTCATTCATAAACAATAAACTAATTCTATGAAAGTTAATCGGTATATCAGAGCAATGCAGTTTTACTCTGTGTGTGGGGGGGGGGGGGGGGGATTATGACGAGTGAAATAAACAGAAATGCCAATACAAATCAAATGCTCTGAATAAAAAAAAATAATAATTCAGTTAAGAGAACTAACCTTCTACAGCCAACTGCCAAATACGGGGAATTTCGGCAGATTAAAATTCAGAAACAAGAAACCAACACAAATTTGGCTAAAATAAAAATAATATAAGTAATAATAATATACAGACAAGAGTCTGATAACATGTAGTATATCACAACAGCTAGATAGTATAGCTTAAAAAGACGGTCCGTTAGTTTGGTAATACATTTGTGTTCCAGGAACGCCAAATAAGCCCAACGGTGGTGCACCAGCTGGTGGGATCAAGGCTGTTGGAATAGCTGCTCCTGGTCCGGGTAGCATTAATTGAGGTTCATTTCCTGAAGAGTGAAAAGAAAATACCAAATTGATTATTTAATTTAATCATTAATTTAAAGAATAGTAGATATAACTAATGTAGTTGTTTTAAATGTAAACAATACTTCACGGATTTGAGTACAGATAATCGCTCGCTATATTGTAAAAGTTTATTCTAGCGTGGAAATTGAATTTAAAATAAAAACCCAGCGTTCTAATCAATCAACAGTAAGTAAAGCAATAGCTTTCTAATAAATTCTACTTAAGATATTAAAACAGCTTTACTAAAATCCACTTAACCAGCATGCAACCTCAACAATCCCAATACCAGTTGAACTGAGATTTGCATCGACAAAAACCAAATTTTTTTGTTGCATACCTAATTTATGCTACTATAGATAGAGAACTGTAGGTATTGAATTCCTACTTATATGATAAATAATGGATTTATAAAATATATATTCTCCAATTACTGATCTTCATTTGAACTAGATATTTATTATTTCAACCCTAAACAATAAATGCGTAAATGCCTAATTTGTTGAATCAATATTATAACATTTTATTATTTATACGTGAAGGACATAACTTTGAAAAACAACTTACGCATCACCAATGGATTAACTGCTTGTTCTGCTTTTTCTTCTTCAGCAGCACGCGTTTGTTCAGAGCGTTCTAAACGATCCACCTAGTAGGAAATTTAAACATTGTTAAGCATTTTATAAATAAGCATAGTTCATTTGTGTATTAAAAGGTAAACTACATCTTAGCAACTCAATTAAGAATTTGAAAAATACGTAGAACAGATCAGGTACACAGAAATTAATACATAAAATAAACACATCAACAGTAACCAGAAATGCTAATAAACTAAAAGTTCTCAGAATATAATTGAGAGAGGAATTAATGCAATTACAATAATACATAAATTAATACTCAATGACATACCTTAGTTGTTAATTCTCTCAGTGTTTGAATCAGGAAAGGCATTGCCATATCGACAAGTCCATTGCGCCAAGCAAGCTCTAAGACAACATCTGGACGTAGGAGATCGTAACAACGATAAAGACAAGCGGCAAAACAATCAGGAAGGTTTTCGGATAGGAACCAGCGTAGTAATTCTTCAGCTGTTTCAGGATCTCGGGAATCACAGGCATATTGCATAGCATCCTAAACAAAATACAATATACACATATATATACATGGATGGTGTATTGCTTCATTATCTTGAAATTGCTATGCCTGAAGGTAATCGTCTACAAAAGTGCTAATAATTGAACTCTGTACCAGTTAAGTTGTCGAAACAATGACTGAGTCAGTTTTAGAATTAGGTATTAGTGAAAAACAAAAACGAATGATACACACCGGGGAACATAAAGCTCAAATAAAAGTGACACTGACCTAATTACTGACTGACTGAAGGACAAAATACACATACATTCTCCAATGACCACATAGTTTCAGCTATACACTTCCAAGAGAAAAACTCAGTCCTCGGAAGTGAACAGTGAAACAATATTATCTACAAGATGGCATTCTAAACACAATTTCTTGTTCATTGTTAAGTCAAACGCAATTTCGCGACTATGAGACTTAGTTTTACAGGATAACTAATAGAGAATTACAAACTGACATAGTGTCCAAGATTTACCAAAGGTTTCGCTTCCCCAAGACATATCATGTCCAAGCCATCGAAAGTTGATACTGTTACATTACAGTGCTGTTATCAACAAGGAAGTTACAAATGGGTAGACGTCAAAAATATATATATCAACCCTCAAATGATGTGAAAAGGTATCTACGTCTCATCATTAGAAGTGTACCATTCAAATGCACTAAGTCAAAATATATCAACTAACATCAATCTGATAGAAACATCGGTTCTCTAACCAATGTCAGCTCATGATGAAATCCTGTAACCAATCAACCAAATCCCTACAAACCAATACTAAATATCGATGAGATGCTCACTGGCGACTGACCCTATTCAGGTAGGTAGTTACCTGTGGTTCCAATGGGAAGTCGTGACCAGTGGGGTGCAGGAGGTCGGGTATGACGACAAATACTCGCCGAAGACATTGGCTAGCGGTCGCGCTATATCGTGAATTGGCAGAAGTTAGAATTCATGGGCCATTGGATCGGGTCCCAGTGGCTTAATGGTATGCGAGCTCGCCTTGTAACCAGAAGGTCCTGGGTTCGAACTCCGTTGGTGGGTGCGTACTGCTGAAGAGTCCCGATCCAGGAAGAAACAGCTATCCAGTACTCCCAGGTTTTCCAATGGTTCTCTAACCAATGTCAGCTCATGATGAAATCCTGCAACCAAAGAAACATATCTATTTTTTATTTTTGAAGTACCTGTGAAGTACCCAACGGGCATTACTAGCTGATATAGGTGCAGGTCGGAAAAGAGTAAGTGGTGGCCAAACAAAAACATGGCATCAATCCATGAAATCCCTGACAGTTAAACTGAGTCAGGTAGGGAGATGCAGACTTCCGGGTTGGGGCCCTCGGGACTCTAAGAATCAATGGCTGGAGACAATAGGTGACATGGTTCAAAATCGTTGTCAATGGAGCAGATATATTCAGTCTATGTAATCTTTCATATTCCTTTTTACCATTACCCATTCTTCTCTTATACTTGTCAAAACTCTGTTGATTCTCTTCACTCATTTTCTTGTCTACCTTTGTGTGCTATTTGGAATGTGGCAACTCGAACTGCTGCACTTCGGTGCCAAGTTCTATGTTGAATCCAGACAGAGACAAACAGAAATTACATGAGTATGCTTATTTCTGTCTCATTCCATTTTAGATTCATGACTACATGAATGGTAAAGATAATTTTCCCTAAGGAAAACAACCTTTCAAACACTGTTGCATAATATACGGTACAATAAATGACTAAGTATGAGAACAACTTACAGCATACAGTTGGTCACGTTTGCACAGTTCAATGCTTTGCATCCATCGATTGCTACCTTTGAAAAGTAGAGCAGCAAGACGACGGAATTCAATAAGTTCATGACGTTCCAATTGTTGCGCCAAAGCAATATGATCAAAGTTACTATGTGTCTCAATAGACTGTCTTAAAGCCTAAAAATATTAAAGGAAATTAATGCAAAATAATATCCCCGGGTAATAAATATGAAGAAATATTAAGTGTACAGAATCAAGTATGTATGTATATATTAATTGCTGACAGAACAGAAGTTCAAAACAATATATCCTAAAACTTTGAAAATTCTCATATGAAGTAGTTAATTATTATCTTTTTTTCCTTCAGGTTCCCAGTGGAACATAGGGCTTCAAGCTAGTGACTTGAAGTTTCTGTAGCAGCGTTTATTTTACAGGATGGGGTTGCTAGCCTCATGCCCAACCTTTCCTCTTCACCAGCATTATTTCTGGCTTAGCGAGATAAAGGAGTACGTCCAGTGGCCGGGGATCGAACCCCGGACCATGTGTATGGTCGACGAGCGTCCTAAACGCTACGCCACCGACGCACTAGTTAATTATTATCAGCAAAACTGAATGGAAAACGATAAGAAAAACTAAATACCGGAAATTCTTACAAACCTAAAGGTAAATAAGGGAAAAAATTACTTGACCACTAAAAGCATAAAATAACAAAAGTTGAAATTTTAAAAACAAAGTTACCTGATAGTCTTCTTCTTCAATCAATAAATCGTTTAATGCCTCATTCACAGATTTATTGTTTGCATTATTTTGTTGAACAAAGCGTAAATAAGGCTTGACTAGTGCAATATGCCCTGCTTTAATGAAGAAATTCACTGCACGTGTATGATCCAAACGAGGAGATAAAACCATGAGTAAATCATTGAGAAGCAATGGTTTATAGGTTAAATAAAATTGAATAGCTTTGTAGTATAATTCCAAATTAGCCACTCGTGTTATCAAGTCTTTAAAGTGATTTTCTCGCCATCCTTCAGTAGGATGACTCATCATAGTAAGAATAGCATTATCATATTCTTCATATTTATCATAGAGAAATACTAACTCTGACCACAGATGAGCTTGTTCAGCAGCACGAAGGACCTAAAATAATTAACAAGTAAAATATTTTAAAAAAATACACTTGGAAATTTAGTTTCTAATTAGAGAATTTTATAAAACTATGCATTGTCGCTCAGCTTAAAACGTGTCTATTTATTAAATTGACTGATAACTTCAAGTGACCTAAACATAGTGGATAAAGTGCTGTATTGAAAAGCCTTAAATAAACTAGCGAATACGGCTTAATGAGCCGCGCAAAGGTGCAAATTTATGACAGTCAACATATGTTAAACCGTAATTATGCGAAAACTAACTACAACATTCATCTTTAATCTTCAAGAACACCCCCAGATGACTTCAACTGTTCATAAAGTAGTCAGTGTTGGAGAAACGTTAAGTTGTTTAGTCCAAAACTTTAGTAATATCGTTTTTCGAAAACACAATAGATATCATTTCAGCATTCTTCACATCGTACAACTGATTAAATAGGACCAGTTTTAAAAGTTAGGGATGACTGGATTGGATCATGACATTGACTTATACTAGTTAGTGTATAAAAGACCTCAGAGCGAGAGCGCACAACCGTTTCTCTCCATAGTTTCCTATTTGGAAACTATGGAGAGAAACGGTTGGGGTTAACTGACTTAGATTATCATTTAGACTTCGGTATGCATGATAGTCTTGAATTAACTCTGAAGGAGATTGTAGGTGATGCAGACTTACTACTCACAGTACACGGTCGATATAGCTTTAATCAGTTAGTGATGCTTCATGGATGTCCGAAATCATCTTCAGCAGAGATAAACCTTCAAAATCACACAAGGTTATATGTTTAGATGTGGTGTAACTGCCGAAATATAATGGATGATATCTTCACTCGTAAACTGGAGGCTGACTCTGTTCGCAGGAATATAGGTCTACTTGATGCCTTTGTGACATTATTCAGACTCAAAAGAATGTCACTGGCACAATGCAATAGTGAAGACAGGTACGCTCTACAACTTAGTATCCAAAACCTGAAAAGATTTCATTGATATACATAATCAAGGATGTGTTCATTTGACTCCCCACACCTCCTATCACATGCTATACCCGGATACACGATATGTGCGGCTTATTTTCTTTTGCACATCCTATTAGCTATAAAGCATTCAGCAAACATTTCCAATATGACAATACATGCACTGCTCTAATCTGCTTTCAGGTTAGAAACACAAAGGAACTGGGAATAGGACGTAATGACATGTGACTAATGAAAAATACTTTTAAGCTATCATTTGACTTATAACCTTGGGGCAAAAAAAGAACATGTACAAAAAAAATTGATTGAATTACCTTTGGAATATTAACTCGGGACCAGAAAAGCTCCAAGTGTTCACGCATCTTTTCAGGCTTGAATTTGGAATACAATATTGCCAACTCAGTAAACATTCCCATATGTGCACGTTCCAAACCTAAACCAGCTTCCAAAAGTTGAATAAGCTCATCAAAATGACCACGTTGTTCATAGTAATTAATAAGATCGCCTAATTCATCTGCATGCACAACGATGTGTAGACCACACATTTGAGCCAACCGGAATTCTTTATGATTTACACAAGCAAAACACACTTCTTTCCAAGTACGCGTGGAATTGGCTTTACGAGCAGCATCCACAGACCCCTGGTATTCACCTAAGTGAACCAAAGTTATTGCTAGGCGAGAGTAGTTGCTGACATTCGAGTAGAGTATTTTTGCTGCCTCATATAATTGATGATCAAAGCAACGATCAGCCACCTGAAAAAAGAAAAAAGAATGATTTGTAAAATCCCTTTCACTAAAACAAGATGAGTAAGGTGATCAAAAAGAAATAAAACACTTACAGCAGTTATGTTAGCATGATTTGGACCTGAAATGAACTCTTCAAGATCTGACAAACGATTTGTTCTTGCATAGGCAAAAGCAAGTTCTGATTCAATGAATGTTTCGCGAGTCTTCTTTCGTGCCATTTGGAGATAACGAACTAAATCTTCCCAATTTCCAGAATTGGAAGCAGCTTCAGAAACTGCTTGGAATCGACTGGGATCGGATGCCTTAACATAAGAATCAATGGCTTCCTTAATGGAGCCTTGAGCCAACTGTGCATGAGCCAGAAGACTCCAGACAGCTGATTCATTACAGCGTTCAGCGAATTCGTAAGCTCTATCAAGATTCTTGACATGATCAATTAAAACCTAAAAAGGAACAACATAAAAAGTAAAGAATTTCTTTATTCAGAAACATTTTTTTACTTTAATACAGACAACAGAAAAAAATGATTTTAAGTTATGAAAATTGACCCACTTTCTCACACTGTGTAACAACAACAATTGACAGACACAGCGGTGTGTCTCGTGTGTATTTTACCTTTAAAATCTTACATCAATATTGCATATTTTCTACACGAATTGAATTGATACTTAAGAAATTTTACAGCAATCAGTTATACTTTTACTTAACTACGCTGAACATAATGCTACTAATCGCCTTTAGGCGAGATTTTCAACCAGTAAAAGTGTGACGTGACAATTTAACCACCTCACATCTAATATTCCGTATAAGGTCCTTCATTAGGTTAGAAGTAAGTATCGGTTCATCAAATGGCACTTCAATAACAGCAGCCATAGCATACCGTCAATCTTAATATATCTTTAAATGTCTCATGAAATGCTACCCAAATACAGTTGTGAGACACTAAAAGATTCCCCCCCCCCCCCACAGACACCAATACAACTGAAATCGAAAACTTCGACTTAAAGGCCTAGTTTGGTGGTTTGAATTGATTTGACCCTTTGAAGTGAATAGATTCGGCTACACCACTGAATGTATTCGACGTCAAACGAACATAACTGCTACACAATGTCTGGATCACTTCGATATGTTAGTGGATCCCAGCTAATCATATCGATCAGTAGCTTACACTGTATTTGTCTAGAAGTCCATCGAAGAGTAGTTGAACATGACGTTTGATTCACATGAGGTATAAGGATTGAAGACATTACAGTATAACAACGTATGTGACACGATACTTAGTATGCACACATATCAACTATTAAATCTGCAACTGAAATACTAAGCAAAAGACGGAATCATTTCTAAACTAATAACGGGTAAAAATCGAGAATTTGAAAATAGATACTATTACATGATAAACAAATAATAAGCAGGTAGCGAAAATTGTAAGTCACTATATATCAAAAGTGTTAGTTTGAATTGATATCTTAACTCTAAACCTGATCTAGAAGTCTTATGAACGTAAATTAGTGCTGCATATGCGAAAGCATGACAGCAGCTTATAAATGTAATGTTCCCCTTTAAAACTACTAGGTAAGGTGTGGATAAACAAAGGATATCTGTTGATAAGTAAAACACCTACCTGTATAGCTGATGTGTTCACTTCGAATTTCTTGAAAATAGCAAAAGCTTCTTCAAAAAGCGAGTTATTTATAGCGATATTAGCTACATCAGGGGCATCATAATTATCCAGACGGTTGATATACTCCATAACACGACTTTTATCGGCTTTAATCGCTGTCAGAATCAAGAGATTTTGAAGGTTTCGATGATCTGAAAATATAGAATTGTCCAAAACAATCTTTTCAAGAAGTTCAATGAGCTCATTTGGCATATCAGCGGCCATGAACGCCTTCACGGAAATGGATATCTCCTCAGGATCTTGAGTTTCAGAAAGTGCTGTTTGAACAACCTGGTCGATTAGCTGCCGACGATAAGTATTAGATTCACTTAAAGCTTCTGCCCACAATTCAGGCTCTTTTCGTCGAACTAAGTAACGAGCTTCAGTTTTGAACAATGCATTCTCATTACAGACCTAAAAAGGTAAAACAAAAACGATGCTGAAAAATCTTCATTTTTTAAGTAACAAGATGATTGACTTTTATCAAAAAATATATGAACACCTGTCGGTTTATAAAAAAATTGTAGATTACAAATGTGTTTACACATCTCTCCACTTATTATAAAATTTTATAAAGAAGCAATCTGTTGAAATACATACTCGAATTAGATCTTGATCGCAATGTCCTCGTTCATATGCTATGCATGCCAAATGTGGATCGCGTTTTTCACAATATCTGCCAACAACAGCACTATCATAGTATTGGTTTTCTCTCAAGAAACGTTCAGGATTGTTATTTAAATCAATATAAATTTTCGCAAGAGCATTATGCGTGGCAGGTTCAACAGATCCTTCATGCACACGTGATTCCAGCCATGGAAGTAGTAGTTTCAGTCGATTACGCTTTTCTACTTCAGCAACAAGTTCATCAGTGTTGAACTGACCTAAAAAATAAATAATACAAAGTGTTAATCTGCGTCAGTAATACTTTTCATGCGCATGTATTAAAAGCAAGACTTACCACGAACAACTGCCATCAATTGTTTGATTACATCTTCGGAACAGTCAACGTCTAAAAGACCACCAACCACCACGGGTAAGCGTGCTGGGTTAACCTTCTGCACATAAATCTCAATATACTTCTGTAAATTGTTACGGAATAAGTAAAGCACGAGATCGTGCACAAAGTCGAACCGATCACAGACAATAATAAGCGGCAGTTGATCCGTAAGTTTTGCTTCCTGTAGATGAAAAGTAAATGTAACGTTACTTACAAAAAGATCTATCAAGACCAAAATTATCGTATGTTTCACTTAGTCAACTAAGAATTTTATACAAGTACACCTGATTTTGGCAGTTGCTACTTTCAGCAGCACAAAAAACAATACGCAATAGATAAAGCCTGAGGAAAAACATCGTCAACGATAATAGCTGTATAGGAATAATACTTGAATCCCTGGTCTGTATATGACTACCTAAACACATTTATCGTCACCAAAAACCTCATTTAATGCAATCGGATATCAATAATTTTAAAATGCCACGGTAAATGCTTATGACGGGTGGAAAATCATTCATCCTAACCATGATGACGATGGGCTTCAAGTGGCGCAAAAAGGTTGTGCTCAAAAGGCTTGTTAATCAGTTTGCATTATTTCTGACAATGTAAGGTACACAAGACAGAAAATTAAAACTACACTCTAATCAGGATAAATTAAACCCAGCTGATAGTCAAAAAAGTAATATTAAAATGGTCATTAACATTTCAGTTCAATACCGTAGGTAGCAAATAAAACCAGATACATATCTGAAAACTTATTGCAACACACTTGGGACAACATGACAGTTGCATTTAACGACAATCTAGAGAAATAGATCCGATGGTTATATTGAACGAATCGTTTATAGCTGGAACGTAGATACACCACGACTTATTGTACTTCGGTAATAGTAAATAACTGAGGATATTCTTGAATATATCTTTTTAAATAAACAATTGCCCATGAAATAATGAGACTAATCACTGAAATTTAAAGTTGTTTCATGGTCCATTGAATCGGGTCCCAGTGGCTGAATGGTATACGAGCTTGCCTTGTAACCGGAAGGTCCTGGGTTCGAACCCTGGCGGTGGGTGCATACTGCCGATGATTCTTAAACTAGGATGAAACAGCTGTCCAGTACTCCCTGGTTTCCAATGGTTCTCTAGCTGATATCAATCCGTGGTTAAACTCGTAAAAAAAATATTTCACTTTATATTATGAGTGGAAGTTCGCATACGCAGTATTCATAAAGGAAAGACTTCACTGGGGTGATTTTATGTGTGCGTATAGGTTAAAAGTCACATTCAAGGAAGTGAATTCAGCTACTGATCTATCACCCATCCAATAAGCAGCGGTAATTCGATAGTTATTTGCAATAGATGAAAAACCAAAGTAAATTGCACGACATTTACTTCATACTATATAGCTACTGAAATATATGACAATAATACCTTGAATGTGCAGTACGCTTCTAATAATCAACTCTCCTAGGGGAGTATGTATAGGAAGACATTAAAATACACCAACACTTTGCATTAGAATATTGTCGTGAATATTCATTTTAGAAAAATATTAGCCACTATTGTAGAATAGAAAACATTACCTTTAAGAAATTTTTAACCCGTTCTGGTTCATAGCAATTGCTTTCACGACATATGCGTTCAACTTCTTTAACTTGTCCAGTCTTACATGCAGCTTGAATATACTTGAAATGAACTTCAGGTTCCTGACTGTAATTAACAATTGATCCCAAAAAGTAAAACAAGCCTTCAAATGATTTAAACGACTCAAATATTTCAATCAAAGCGTTCGTTCCCAATTGTTCATGGTATTTAGTAGCAATCTGAACACACACCTGAAGATTTTGTCTGATATTTGTTTGTAGCATAGCTCTTAGACATTCCAATGAATCATCGACAGAAAGTGAACCAAAGTAGTTGACAAGCCACTGTAAAATCACAATGAGAAGCGATGAATACACATAAATTGGAATAAAACATAAGTGAACTTCCATAGCATAAACTAAATGCCATCAGAATATAAAGACATTAAATGAGTGCAAGTGCAGGATTTTAAGAAAGCTGAATAAATCAAACACTAAGCTCAAAGGAAATGCGTACACGTCAGATGAATACTACCCAACAATAGGGAGTATCATATGTAATACATATAACCACCTAATACATTGACTGGAAGACGGTAATACTACACAAAGGATGCTCTGTGTTAGGAATAAAATGTGACAGCTTATACAAAAATCAATAAAAAATGAACGTTACTTTGATGGACAAAGCTAACATTTAGACTTTGTACAACTTTATATTAGTACACTAAACAACATCCAAGAAAGTTCTATGTTACGAAAATTCAACCCAAGTGGTTTGTGGCATAGTAAACTATCTGTTGAACACAATACACTAACCACAGTAATCCGTTCATACCAACATCTTTATTCAAGATTAAGATAAAATAACATTGCTACCGAAAACGTTTTCAGTGGAATGGGACATGTGACATGTCTATCAACGTAACCATGAGAGGGGGGGTTGTACAAACATTACACCTGTGAGGTTATCACTTGGCCGTTGTAAGAAATTTTAGTCAATAGCTGACTGGTTTCAACGTATAACTTTGCACAGATGTGTAGCAGTTCGAGTTGCCACACTCCATGTAGCATACAAAGCAAGAGAAGAGCGTAAAGGGAGATTCAAAAGACAGAACAAACAGAAATGTGCGGCGAAAAGAATAGTAGTATGAAAGAACAATAAAATTCAATCAATGATAAAGACAAATGAGGAAACAAGCATAAATGATAGGAAATTCGACGACAAAGTTGTTCAAACCGCGTATCGGACCAAGGTTGTATACCAACAAAAACCGAAGTGAGCAAATGAATAGACAGCTAAGGACGGGTGACATCAGCAGGGCCAACGCAAGAAGAATCAAATAGGGTAATTGAATGCTGAAAATTGAAGACACGTAGTAGTAAAACAATGACACTTCACTACCCACCCCGTTCAAGCAGGTCGAAGAAATATTCTCATCGTATGGAAATCCAGTCAAGTGAATCCCTCTAAAAAGCTACTACTACATGAACTAAAAGCGGATAGGTTAGCGTGGATGAATAACAGTCTTCAAAAAGACAAGTTTAAGTTAAGAAACGGAAGAAATTAGAGTAGCAAAGCTACTTCAAACAATCGGTTCATATATCAAACGAGCAGTATCAGATGAAACTAGTCAAATATGAAACTAACAAACGTTTCATTAGTTGTTATTTGAAAGTCAATCAAATTAATGAAGGAAAAACATTTAAGCTTTACTCTTGGTGACAGATATTCAACTAACGTGGAGATACCAGTAACATACTATTCAGTTTCACGATAAGGTGCAGCATGTACAGAAAAATGAAAGTCACAAATATCTCTATATCCCAAAAAGTAACTGATGGCAAATACATATGCTTCTAAAAGCTTACAAGCACACAATTATTCCTGTTAAAGATAAGTTTAAAATTCCGTTTAGCAAGGGGTGGTTCATATTTTGGAAATTGTACAAATGGTTACAGTAAATCTGAAGGGATACATTCTAAAGTTAAACTATTGGCTTATTTAAAAAATGTACTGAAAATGTTATTCCTTGTAACATACTTACTTCAGGATTTAATAAATGCGTACTGACAACAGCTCTCTTGATGTCGTAAAGATCAGTATAGTGTTCCAAAGCACGCTGTAATAATCCAGCTTTCTCACACAATTGAGCAATGGCTGCTCTATCATAATGAGAAAACATTTGATTACCCAAAATCGCATCTGCCACCTAAAAAATAAAATTACACATGAAACAATTCACTCCTCAAATATACACCAGCATGAATAAATATCATTAAAGCTATTCCTCTTTAAGAAGTTGGCCAATTTGCAGACTGAAAATCTTTGGACGTCCATCTAAGTATAAAGTCTATTATCCAAAACCAGAGATATTCACAAAAACATAATCATTTTACTTTTAAGTGTATTCTAAACTGGTTAACTTCATAAGTTCTTCTTAGCAAGCAAATCACATTTCAGTGAGTTCCGAAAATCCTTGGAGTTAATTCGTTTTTCCATACATGTCATCCCCTTGATATGCTTTAATAAAACAAATTTAGTCTTTAGTGCTCCACAATAATTTGTTTCTTTTTGTCGCCATTAATTCCTAATACTTATACACTCATAACTACTATTGTGGTGAGTGCTACTTATAATCAGATATAAGTAGTATATCAGTTAACGAGTTCACAAAAGTAACAATGTTTTGGGCACTGGGAAAAAGCAATCGATAAAGAGAACTGTGAGAAGAACGTTAAAATACTGTTCAGAATCTAACAAGCTATCGATTGTGGTGATATTCGACCAATTTGCAAATGATGTGCAAATAAGGACTTAAAGATAAGGTGTACCAAATTTGTATGCCCGACAACGCGTTTGTCCCAATAAACATTGCCTTCGAGCCTCATCAGTCTTTTCTTCTTTACACTATAACTTTAGACCACGTGTTATAGCGCAAAATAACTTGCATGGAAACTGTATTTTCATTTGCTCAAGTAACATATTTCAAGGATATCTAACTGAAAAACAATTAACACATAACTCCTTTAATTCTGCAACAAAAAAACCATGTAACGTGAGTATTATAGGCAAGAGAATAAATAAAAATGCTTTGGAACAAATAAACTATCACACCAAACTAACTTCAACATCACATTCTTAAAGCGTTAATACTACTTTCATGTTCTAACACATTGAAAGTATTTACATTAGGTAATAATCACGTAAAAGTCGATCGAGAGGTGAGACAAATCCGTATAGTAACCGCGACTAACATGATACTAATGCGATGGTGATCTAATATTAAATCTCTTTAATACCTCAATACCAATGACTGCTTAAGAAACATGGTTCCTCATACTACATTATCACACACTGGTTTTGAATAAATACATTTAAAGATGAAAATTTAGAGCAAATAAATAATTCACTTGTGGCTGACAACCAATACAATTAACACAAAAACTCACCTGAGGAGCTGACATAAGATTCATCTCTAATAAACGAGTTTGAAGATGTCCTTCCGAGGGTCGATTATGTTTTAATGCGTCTAATAAAAATGACGTGCACTGCTGTACTAAACCTTGATCCATGAAAACATTCACAACTTGTTCTAAATCCACTAAAGGCTCTTGATCTTGGACTAACATCTGAGCAAACTGTAAACCCTGATCAGGGTTGATACGAGTAAGATTGCGCAACAAAAAGATATAGTCCGGTGTATAACCAACTTTTTTGGCGTAAACTATAATTTTTTGAAACTGGCCAGTTTCCGCGAAACATTGTACGACCTTTGGCGGTACATTAGCTCTCAGATAGACAGACAACGCCAAAGTAGGATCCGCCTTTGAAAGAAAAATATATTGTTAATTATTACACACAAAATACTTCAAAGGAAATACACTTGCCTTGTAAAGTTAATGAGCTCATTATTAAACAATCTGATTGGGGAAGTAATCCATAGAAATTGCTGTCAACTTTTCGATTCAAAAAGTTACTGCAAGTCAGTCACGATGAAAAATTTTAAAAATACTGCAAAACAACTTCACAAGAACACCAACACACTCAACTTGGTAGTCATGGTAATACGATTTACTTATTAACTGTTATTATTATTAACACTTCATTCTACTACCATTCCTGAATCATTTAAAACTATCTTTTATCAGTAGTATCATCTTAACTCGTTTCAACAGTATTACCGTAACTATTATTATTAGTATAGATCGGCTCGCAATTCTTGGTACATTCAAGTTCTTTCTCTGATGACTAATTGTTTATCCAAGTGACGTAATTGAAGCGTAATGCATTTTATCTTAATTTCAATCCTTTAAACCCCATTCCTCTTATCTATTGAACATGACCTGAAAAACACTCGCACGTATCGTTTAGCATGATTAATTCTATATAGTTTATTTGGATAGTGTTACTATCAGTCTTATATCTCCCAATGTATTTTCAACGGTCTTTTTATCCTTGAACGTGTTCAACTGAAGAGTTCCACCGAAATTTGACGAATTCATTGAATCCTGCCTTATTAACCTTTGTTGCTTGTTTTAAATTCATATCGGGAAATAAATGTTTCTGAACTCGACTTAAAAATAAGACGAAACTGCTTTATATTCCTTTAAAACTGCTATTTTAGTACGCCGCGGAAAAACTGTGATACTAAACCTGTAATAGGCCGGTAGAAAGTTATGTCATTATGATACTGGAAACTATCCAACCATATAGGATAAATTGGGTTTAAAGTTTGGTTATTCATCTTGCCCCAGTGCTAAGTAAAAAAAACAGGTCGAAGATCTACTTGAGGAATACAAGACAATTTTGAGCAAAAATTACTTTGTATCTATCCCATAAGTGTAATAAACCTTTACTGTATATATATATATGATGAATTCTTTCCAAACATTACGAAATCCAATTTTCAAAATGCTACAATCAATAATTAGACCACAATTGCAAGGTACAAAGTTAGTGTATATGCTTAGGAAAAAATAAATAATAGCACGACTCTACATTCATATGCTGATCTTAACCTGCTATACAAGAGCTGAAGACCCTACTGCAACACCCAAAGGTGTATAAACAAAGCCGGCTTCCAGCACACAATACACATCAAAAGACACTAAAATGCAATTTCCCCTAAAATAATAATCAGGTGTGGAACTTATGCTTAATTTACTTGACCATATGTATCGATCTGTAACTAATTCTTTTTCACTTCATTATACAAACCAGTTAAAAAGCTAACAATTTGTGTCACAGGAAAACAACGGGCAAAAAAAAAGAAATTACCTGTTTCACAAGATCACCCAACTCTTCCGAACACTCCAATTTATCTTCCTTTAACCACTTCTCCAGTAACTGTTTTCTACCTTGTTGTAGTACTGGCCTGCAAAGCTCTAAACTCTCAAACTTGTTTAGTTGACCTTGATCGAGTAAAATTCCAAAATATTGCAACAGTGCCGATGTCTGCCCAGGAGCAGTTGCAACCTATTAAAACGGTGAATACAGATTGTATTTTAGGTACGGAATCAGCACATGTACTAAAGAATACAGTAGAGACCAATATTTGTTGACAAGTGCAATCAAAATAAAGCAGGACAGTTCATATAAGTGAGTAACAATAAGAATATAATGATAACCTATAAGATGACCGAATATATGATTGATCAGGTAACAGATGATATGTGTTGCGAAAGCGTGGAGACAAGTTAGCTTTGTCATTTCATATCTTGAGGAAGGCTGATATATTGCTCATATGACTAGATACAAACACATGGTTGTCTTAAGGAACCACTCCACGAACATCTGACCTGAAGTCTGACCAATAAGGTGGCAGAGCAACGTCAGCAGTCACAACACTACCGCGGCTGGCAGAGACCAAAATAGGTTTGTATACCATTGGCTTTGTCGAGATATTGGAAATCTTGTGCATCCCAGATTTGGAGTCAGCGTTTCTTAACTCCCCTAGGTAGGGCACCCGTCCACCAGTCCAGTGGGAAGCACTCGCCCCGAGATAGCTACTCGTCACTGTTTGAGATCTCAATTTATTTGTATCGTTTTTTTAGTTGCGAACTAGCTACTTGCAGGAAGTTGGCCTCCAATTGAGATATCTAGCGTGTTGCGCCCAAGCTTGCCATCTACGACGCGAGTGTATGTTGATGTTGAGCCATAATAGAACAGCTCGTCCATAGTACCTCAAATGACTCATCACTATACTGAAGAAGCCCTCTCCATATGAACTGAAAAACAGGAGCTACGTGTTCCAAAAAAAATAGTTTAACCTCCATATTTGCCATGAATCTAATTCGGTTTGACTCCTTAGTTTTCTTTTTGTTCCATTCCTTTCTATTTTTCATTTCAGATATAAAAAGCTATTATTTCAATTTGTTTCCATCCTCATCCAGTTCACACCTGTATTTGTTAAAAGACTATTTTCCAATCCCGTATAATTGTGTCTCTAAACTCGCTGTTATCTACACTAATACCTTCGAATTTTCATATCAAGCTGAAAATTATCGTCACCTTTATTCTTCGTTATTATGTTCAATTAAATGATAACTGCAACTATGCACACTTCCGTATATAAATGCGACTGTACAGCTTGTGAGAACGAAATCGCTGAAAAGATATATTTACTGAACTTCTTGTTCTTTTCTCTCTGATGCAAATAAGGCAACAGTCATGTGTGGCTAGAACCCTAGAAAACGTCGATGTTAACATATGCTGTTATACACGAGATTACATTGAAGTGTTTCGAATAGTCTCCCCATTCGTCACGTTGAGTAATGCGTTTCACCGATCCTTATCCAAGGACCCTGTAGAAACAGCTAGAAAAGCATTACCTTCCTATCTTCTGTGCATAAGCACCTACATATTGCATCCTAGTTACAATTAAAGATGAATTCTGCTATCAACTAAGTGACCTCAACCAGGTGCACTCGATAGATATCATGGCAATGGATGGAAACTTGAAAGCACAAGTCGGGATTCCAGACTCAGAGTCATTAAAGTCGTCGATGAAGACTTCATGGTCAGAGGTCAAATAGTGAGGACAGTCTTCTGAAGTTTTGTACAGATCACAGTCTACTTTTAGCCAGCATCAACTTCCAGTACAGTCACTGCTATGGCGATGGAGGACGCCCTCCTATTATCACTCAGGCCCGAACTCAAACATATCACACTGCTACCAACTACCGATGGCATGGATGCATACAGAAGTGCAGTTGCTTTTACGGCACTTGTCTAGATTCTAATCATTCTTTTACAATTTGACGGTGACCATGAAATTCGTTCTAAACATACTGACTTAACTGAACTGGTTGCATCCTCTGGTGCATTAAAATGAGTTGGACTCAAGACCAAATACTGATGTTCCAAAGAATATAAACGAACACTAGTTGGACTTACAAGATGTCATGCGAGAGAGAATCAGAAGTTGGACTGAGCAACGGTCAGAAGTTGTTTCAGTTCGCAAAAGCTACCGGAATCAAAGTATTAACGAAGTGGTCCTTGAGGCAGATGGCATCCAGTTAACCTAAAAAGATGACTGAAGTGCTGGGTGGATCATTTTGAGAAATTTTAGCTGGTCCATAGCGCCAGTGTTCAATATTTTTAATCACAATGCACCATGAATTGTTAGCACCAATTCGCCTAAAGACGAAGTGCGAAAGGAATTCAAAGTACCCAGACGCCATACAAAACCTGGCCCAGACTTGTCCCAGACTTTTTTGAAGATGGTTTCGACACTAATTAGAGAACTGACTATACTGTTTAGGAAAGTAAGGGAGATTAAGCCTTCAATAAGGGTGGGATGACGCCACCGTAGCGCCTACCTCTAAAAAAGCCCCATGGGATACATGCGGTAATGATCGAGATATTTACTTCCTACCAGCTGCGTCAGTTGTTAGAACACCGCCATACGTATCGCAGAACTGTCTTAATTCTTCAGTAAGGTTGGATAGTACTTTTCCTTAGAATTATCTGCTATGAAGCGATGACCCTGGATACTTGTCAGCACTATCAAAGCCCTGTACAAAAACGCCTAAAGTGGGGGAATAAAACCATATCATTATTTTTCCATAAAACAGGGGTTTCCCAATGTCAATATTTCTCCTCAACTTCGCCATCGATGACAATCTGAAGACAGATCTGAAAGATTAGTGTACTGGTGGTATGGATCTGCTACCACGAGAAAGACCTTTTGACACCAACTATGCAGACGCTGACGTCTGCATTACAGTTGGCGATGTTTGTGGATATGAAGTGTTGAAAAACTGGCAGGCGACAGTGACCGCACGCATCTTCTCAAGTAAACGGTTAGGGATTGAGAAGTCATGTAGTTAGTGTGAGTGCTGGCAAAGGTATAACGAATGAAATTTCCAATCGTATAATGAAAATAAGAAAAGCAAATGCCACCAAAGGTGTTGTCGCGACTTCAGACGTCGGACTTACAGTGCTTCGAACCACGCACTTTTGATCCACTAGTCTCTTTGAGCTGAAGGTGCGCGGTGTTTCTGCGTATTCAGTCATCGCTGCCTCCAGTGGTATCACCGCTTAAGTAACTTTGAGGTCAGACAGTGTGCTTAGACATGGTGATATGTGCTACAGACGCTTCCCTAACATCTACTGTTAGCTATTCTTCAAAATGAATGATAAAAGTAGAAGGGACCAACCCATCATGTGGTATCGTGAGATGAAGGACAGCTGTGTTCGATAATTACCATGATTCCCTAGGTTGAGTTCAAGAGAAATCACGCAACTCAGTGACCCAAGACATTATGAAATACAACTCATGACTAAAATCGACGGAGAACGTGCCATTTTCCATCTTTCTTCCCTTTTTGATAGCAATGCGAATTGATGAATGCCCCCTTGAATGTTCTGAATAAGTATGCTTATCTGCTCTCATACTGCTATCCCTCAATCATGCTAGTTCCCTTTCCGTTATTTTTTTGCTATTATTTCGTTTGATACATCCTTTTGTGCTCAAAATGATGGACATTTTTTAAATAATACATCTGAGAACTAATGAAACTGTTAAAGTAGAACTAAAAGTTTGATATTCCAAATTATCAGTATACATGTACGAATTTTCAGTCACCATTAGTGTATAAAATTATGACAATGTCGTAACGAACTCCAAAAGGTTAGCTAAGTTTCCCTTTAGTTTAAGACTGAAATGGTGTGAAGATAGGTCCTAGGGTAATACTTTGCAATGATTAGTGTAGTGAGAAATTAATAAGAAGCAAATGCTGATTGTTTACATGATGGAATTCCTACATGAAAACACCGAGGTTGATATCAAATGCAAACACTTAGGCAGGTGCAAGTTGCACTAAAAACAGAAAAAGCTTGTAGACAGCCCACGAAAACCTACCTGTTGAAAACGTTGGATTGTTTGCGGTGTACGCAATATTCCTTTTGGAGCGTTCGCTGCTAATTTTGCAGCTTCACTGTACTGAGCCGCCTGGAATAAAGAGTCGAACTTTCTGAAAAATAAGTCCTCCGCTCCAGGGAGATTGCATCTAGAAGCCATTTGCAGTGCAAGTGTAGGATTGTCTAATGTAGTGGTTATGTAGCTAATGATAGTATCTTCATCAATGCTGACAGACAGTACCTATAAAAGTATGAAACTTGGCAATTCAGCTGAATTTTGCGGTAGAAATACATTCTATAGAACACAAAAAGATGCATATCGTTAACATGACAAACTACAAAACTGCACAGCTACAAACGGTTACACAGTTGTGATATTTTCCTGAGACAATAGAATTGATTCCATTAATAACTACTAATCTTATCAAATGGCGAAGCTTATATCGTTATATGAACTGGGACCAATAAACATAAACAATGAAGGATACGGTAAAATAAAGTGCACGCACCCTTTCTGTGCTAGTAATTAGGATTACATGAATGAAAATAGTGTGACAATGTGGACCCGAAATGCTCTGCAAGCTATGCGCTTCTGTCGTTGCTTAGGAAATTCGGTAGACAATCTTGCAATGTTATGGTCATGCTGTAGGAATTTGTCGCCTTCCATTGTCTGAGTATTTATAGCACACAAACCATTAGTAATGGCTGTATTTCCATGCACAGCGGTCGAAGATAAAACAATGACTATCCTAAACTTAGTTACTCATTATGGTACTATACAAATAAAACTCCATGTTCACGTTGATAAATAACTGTTGAAATACGAAGACATTTCGACCTGAGTGACATGGAAGATTGGATTTCTTATTGGTTTTTGTATTTGATTAATTACATTTAATCTATCATATGTATGAAGAAACAACAGAAACTGGTTTCTGTTTCTTACAATGTTCACATTAAACGCTTTGAGACAAATAAAAGCCAATATGTATGGTACTCTTTAATTACTACATTGGTACTACAAAGCAGTTAAAGATAACTTATGTTGATGAAAACACCCTATCTACTCAGAACAGGAAATTATCCCTAGCAAATGCAAAAGTTCAGTGGCAACATGGTAACTCAACATTCATTATGAAAACCTATAAAACTATCTGGTCACGCAAAATTTATGGGATAGAATTCCGGTTCATGACTGTGTCAGCCAGGTGCTCATCAAAGACAACGGGGTTGGATAATATGTCAGCAGTTTCAGAGTCTGTATGGCGTAGATCGATTATCAAAGCTTAAATATTCTTGAAACTTCGATGATCGTCTTGCTACTCCACTCTGCATAGTCGATATTCGGTTAGTGGTTGTGCATAGGTGGACTCAACAAAGACTGAGACCAGTCAACTTGCCGAAGACTTGTCCCAACATAACTGGTTTCGACTGCCTATAGCATCTATTGTAGCCACTTATATATATATATATATATATATATAAACCTATTGGGATTAAAATCTTTCTTAGATCAAATAATACGTCCAGTAAATTACCGGTGACTGAAGTTCAGACTACGAATCTAGTAAACAGGGAAACATCTGACCATATTCACGAGCACCTCAAATACTATTCACACAGAACAGGGAAGTCAGAAAAAATGCGAACGCGTTGTGGACGATGGATTAACTATAATGCAACTAAAGCAAAAACCCGCTTACCTGACCCTTTCTGTTAACTCCAATAATACCAGCTGTTGGTTCATAAGGTGCAGTAACGAAAATAGTCTCACTACTTATACGATTCATATATATACACGTGCCACTCTCGATATCATAAAGGTGTAAATATCCACTCTTCGTTATTAGAAATATGATGTCGTACTTCGGAGAAGTCTGAAAAGTGAACATATTTATTGTATTTAACATACCTGCATAGCGACAGGGAAGTCATTTTGTGCTTCTGGTGGAAAGTACACGTCGATAGCTTTCTTAGCAAATGGCTGATTTCCAGCAGGTGGTTGACCAACTTCAATGATGTGTAATTTGCAAGCTTGAACATTGCGTGATGCAAAGCAAAACAATGTGGAAGGGTTGCTGTTGCCTTCAGCCTTATATCGAGCGAAAGCAGCAGCATGTCCTTCAATCGGCTGGCTAACTTTTCGTTCAACACTATACAACTGCATGTATCCAGCAACCCGGTTGTCTTGGGCGGCTATGCCAATCAGTAACAACCACTTCTGACTCAAATCACAGCGATAACTTATAATTTGGCAGTTAGTCCCAAGAGACTGATGGCGATCGAACATCCTGACAGGATTCGAATCACCTGAAAAGCCTAATTACATATGATTCATTTCTTACCATCCATGGCCCAGTGATATACACTAGTGGCAGTTACTAGTGCGATGGTATTAACAGAAATCCATTTGCAGAACACGACATCCTCAGGCATTGTATATGTCTTCATTTTGCTTTTTAGTTCAATGTTGAAAATCTGTAGCAGTTTCCCAGCTTTCAGTGCCATCACCTTACTGACAGGATTCATAATAATTGTGTCGGCCGAAATAGGTCGACGAGTGGGATTCATTGGATCGTTCATGTCGATAATAACAACTTGTGATGTTTCTCCGGTTTTTTCCCTAACACAAATAAACTTATCCGACTCCATCGTAAGAGTACTAAAACCTATACTACTGGGCTGGATACCGATGTTAACCAGCTACAACAAAGTTAATATATTTAAGCTTCTTTTATTCCTCACCTGTAAGTGTTCCTGAAACTTAATAGGCATCTGTGGAGAAGCCATAGTATCCAAATGCAGAAAAACAGTCCAAAGAGAAAATGAGATGTAGACGCTAGTTAGCTATTTGACACAGTAAAACAAACTACCTCCAAGTCTAACAATAAACAATAAGCTCACATAAACGATACTTCTGCAGCCAGTAATTGTCGCAAAAAAGTGGCCGTGATCTTTAATGAACTATGAAATCGTTCAAAAGCAGAGATAAAAGTTTGGGCTTTCGTGTCCTATTTTCGAGGCTCTACAAGTATATGAATGCATTTGCAGCATACATTTAGAAGTAAAATCTGCTTCGGCTCATTCTACAGGCTGAAATTATTCAAAATTTATGTTATGGTGTAAGGCGTAAACACTAGGTTGATCATCGTGAGCAGGACAGTGGTTCGAATTATCAAGGTTTCTGAATTGCACTAGTCACTGAACACTGAATGAGGTCATCCTTCAACAAGTATACCTGTCTGATATCGACGCCTTCTCATCACTCTACTAGTAAAAACACTTAATTTTCTGCATTTCTCGCTCACCAAGTGATCTTTCCTAAGAAAATCACACTTGTACATTGCAGACCCATTAAATGAAAGGCGCCTACAAGGGTGAAAAAGAATCCCTGGCTGGGAATAAAAATATGAGGAGACCTGTTCCTTCTGGAAAGAAACATACTGATGGGAAAATGAAGTGCTAAATGACAGGAGTTAGAGTAAAGAATATTTAAAATTAGTACAATCTCCGAGTGCTTTGGTAGTGTACGTCGAAGGAATACCACATTTGAACGTTTTGCCTGGAAAATTTAATCTTTAGTCACTACCAAAGTTAGGCTGCTTGAATCTGACTTACATGAACCGGAACAATGGTTTGCTCAACTGTAGGACTACTTTGACCACTATAGCATCAAATCTGAAACCACCAGGTATAGGGACGTGGGATCTCAGTTACCTTATGAGATTAGCAGGGAGGAGCGGGACCTTATACCTTACCCCTCCCCCAACGAGCAGCTAAACACAGTGCTTAAGTGTGACGTCATAAAACGTCTCTTTATGTCTGAAAACGAGTGTATACAATGGTTGCTTTTAAGAGCTAACATGAAAGATAGATTCCCACCACAGTTCTTCTACAACAGCTTGTAGGGAACAGCATGGTGGGATAGAGTGTACTGACGCAAGCCCTCCCAGAGTATGTGCAACAATCGCTAGACGCACAAAATCGTGACTCTCCTCTTGAACATTTAGCACCCATCTGCGACCGGATGTCAGGGAGGAAACGACTTACTGAAGGACAGGTGAGTGATTTGAGCACAAGCAAAGAACCGGTAATCTCAGAACTAGTGACCAAAGTTAGATCACTTGTGGAACAGTTGGCACAAATACAACTAACACAGGGCAGACGAGGTAGATTACCTAATAGAGCACGTTGTCGATAAAAGAGTAGGCCCAGACAAACCAGATCAACAGGTCAATTCAGTTGGTATCACTGGAGGTTTGGCGCACAGTCAACAAAATGCACACAACCATGCACCTGGCCTAAGCAACCTCACAAGCAACATGGAAACAAGTAGCCCAGTAGCGACTACTGAGAAGAGCGGTCAATGCTACATCAGGGATAAGGAATCTGGTTCAGACTTCTTGGTTGACAGAGGAGCTGCACTCAGTATCATATCAAAAGCAAAGGCCAAGCCGGTATGATAAAAGTCCCCTATCACATCACAGGTCACCAATAATACCCAGATCACGACATTCTGTCGGAAAACACTAATATAATAATAATATATTTATTCCTGTTTATGCAGGAACATACCAATTGTACAGGCATGGATAAGTTATTATATAAATTACACATATTTCGATGTATGGTGAATTTACAGTTTGGTTGTTCTGTCTGACATTTGAGTCAGTCGGAACAGTCTGCAAAATAGTCTGTTTGTGTAACACATAAAGAGATATAGAAATATTGTCTTCGCATTAACAAAAAACCCAGACATCAGATGAATGTAATACAAATATCTGGGAAAAATAAAGCTTGAAGTCAATTCTCCTATATAACTTTGTTGTGAACAGCATCCTTGGCTTAATGTTCATTGATGTATTATGTTGAGATCAGTGATATATATATAGGTCGATTCCAGAACTCTCCATTGGTGCAATTTGTGTCAGCATGACAGACTGTACACGTAAGTTGAGTAAGACATTGAAAACTGTTTGAAAACCAGTTGCTTCTTTATTTCAGATCATGAATACTCCTTGTACAGAATGTTGGCCAGCGTCTTCAAATGGTAGCATGGGATCGTTCATGGAATTTGAGTGGTTATGAGTTAAATGGTCTGGAGTCTATATTCATTTCAGTTTAAATGTGGGGTTGTTCGACCTCGACCAGAAGGAAAATAGAAGAGTAGGCTCAGCAGCAGAATACCAGAAGGAGAAAGTATGTGAACATCAAAAGAACACTAATGTTTTATGCACATACAAATGTTTATATAAATTGTATTACAGTGTATAGTAAACATTACCTATATTCTAGTTGTGTTTTCATTTATTTTTGCGAAGTCTTAGAGTTATTTATTGTCATAATATATAGTAAAGAGTCGAGTAAGGCTAAATTCTATGACGATGTGTTTTCGCGCATTGCATGGGTTATCGCGTTCACGCCTATAGAGACGTTCTAATCGCTCATTTTTGTGAAAATAGATTATATTTGACTAGTTTTAGACTTTTGTATTGTGTTCGTAGTAATGCGTAAAATTGTCATGATAGCCCAAACGAATTATTAATAAAAAAGTCATCCTTTTGAAGAAATTTCGTATAAAAAGACTATTATTTGCGTTTTAGAGCATTGAGGCATTGCTTTTTGTGAGTTGTTTTAGATCTTAAGGTTGTAAATTGACTGCAGGCAATGGCTGTTGTCATCCCAGTTATTCTATGAGAATCGTGCATTTGAAAGAGAAATAGCCTACAGACGTAAGTTAGATGTGTGTTTTGAGGATTTTAGACACATCTTTTATCATCTGTGATGACTGAAATATTCCATAACACATGGAAGAGATCATGCGATGAATGAGACAGGCTGCTGCATTTCCTGGTGATTATATCTACTTTGATGAAGTTCCCATTTAAAATTGCTTAGGCAAGGATATGATACTAGTTTAATTGACATTTGCACTAGGAATGTCAGAAGGCCTTAATTGTTCATTGTCAAAAATTGCATCAGATTATGTTTATATCAGTGTGCATCGGGTCACGAAGAATAGTGTAGATGGTCCTCCTGAAATGTCAGACTACTTAAAATTAGTATCAACTTTCTGTCGATTATTAGCTAGCAGGTGTGTCCTGCAACTACTGCACCTGTTACATAAGTTATCCCAGTCTTCACAATTGTTCGTGTTCAGATCACTAACATATTCTGAGATCCTTAATTAATTACTTGTGGCTATGAAGGATATGGAAGATGCACTTATGGCTTATATGTTTAAATCATTTATTAGGAAAGAAGTTATCTGTAGGGATTTTGTGATGTTCAGGTTACAGTGCTTGACTGTATGTAGTGACTGCATGCTTCTGTGCGTGAAGGAAAAGTTGGTTAAAATGAAGATGTGATGAAGTTTTCTGTACAGTGTTCATTGTGAATGGTTTACAAGTTAAAACTTATCATAACCTGTTCTAATTACTCGTACACTAATTGAACGACTTAAACTTTTGAAAAAGTATTATTTTATGATACTTGAGGATTGTAATTCATTACATAACTTATTGTGCCTGTAGAAATTACATGCATTCCTTGTAAATACCCGTTTATACGACATATTAAATTACTATTATTTGCTTGCTGCTATACTGTGTAAGACGAACAATCTCTGTGTGACATTGAAAACTACAGAAGAATGCTGTCATCACCAAAGAATGAAAAAGGAAAATGAACCTTTTGCAGCAAAGGTATGCAAATATAAAGCGTTTAACTTTAATATTACTTCTTCCTTACTTCAGCGATTTAAAAACATACACTTTGTTCACTTATTTACAGATATCCGGTAATGTCAGTCAACTTGGTCACAGCAATTCAACATGGGCGAAATAATTACGAAAAACAATTGTGTAAAGAAATTTGCTTATATTTTTCATTAAATTGATTTAACATCCTGCTTACAATACTTTTCTTATTCTATCTGAGTGAAACTACGTTTTTTTGCATGACGATGCAGATGTCAGACTTATGAATGATACTTGATGATTTATTTGACTGCATAATTAAACGTAAGCGGAATGTTACTAAGACTGCTACAGCTCAACCTACTTATTTGTTCGTTATGTGTAAACTTAATTTTACAGTATACCTTAACACCCGTTATCATAGGGACTGCCATAACGCTTTAATTGAAATATTAGTAATACACTGATTTGGAATACACCTAACCGTATACGAAATGGAACTGCAATGCAGTGCCTAAGTTCTACCTATCGTTGACATTGTTCCCTACAGACTTGCATATGACTATGAGACGTTTTCACGTAACTGTAGACAGAGACTTAAGGTCCACTAAACTACTTATAATTCACCACGTATATCGGTCGATAGTGTTCCTACAGAATTACACTTAAGTATAGTAACGAGTTCAAGTCCTAGGGAGCACCGGTCTAGCATGCCGTGCTCACAAAGCGAACACATGAATTGAAAAACAACAAGATTTATATGAAAAGTTCATATTTATTATAATACAACATTAGTTTATTTACATATTAAGAAAATGGTCCATTTGTGCGATTACTTCTCCCGCTTTGAGATGCGCACGAGTCGCGAGACCATGTCCATCGTTG